TATATATATATATATACTTTTTAATTTCTATAACATAAGTTCAAATGACTGTTTTTTGAAGAATCATAAAATTGGTATTAGTCTAATAAAGTAAAACTATGGTCGAATACTCTCACAAATTTATAGACCGATGGCTGTCGTAATAAAGATCGAAAACGGCGGCTTTTCTTGAAAATATGGGAGTACGCTCTATAAACGGTTTCATTCCACCATTTTCAACATAGTCTACCAGCCATTAATCTGCGATCTACAGTTTAACGCAGGTTCAGAAACTAGGGAGGAGAGACAACGGCATATGTATAGACTGGCTGTCCCAGTAACTCTTCGTCGTGCGATTTCCAGTGAAACTACAGCGGCTACTATCGACTCGCTCTTGTTTTCGAACTCTATTACAGGCGCCTCCTATTGGACACAAACAAATTTCTTGTAGCCTTAAAGAGCTTAAAGGGGTTTGCTCGGAACAGCAAAATGAGAATTTCTCCACGGAAATGACTGAGATAAAAAGTATGAAATATATTACTCGCGAGTCCCACATATAAAACTAAGAATATCTATTTAGAAAAAAGAAATGGTTAAAAGTATGATTGATTGAATCTTTTTTGAGCTGCGCGTGGTTCTTATACAGTCCGAAAAGTTTAATGTAACTAAACCTGATATCGAAACTCTAACTAAACATATATTTCAAAAGTATAAAAGTATATATAACAGACATTTAATTTTCATTAATGTCAAGCAGAGTGTTAACAGAATGTTAAGCTAGTTTGATGGCCAAGATATCTAATATTAAATGATAAATCGTGACAGAAAGCGTCCAGAATAATCAAAGAATACACTTTAAGCTAATTATTTACTTCAAAGGTTACTGCAAAATACTGCTACTCGATAAAAGAAAATTAATGGCTTCCATGGAACAATGGACACGCAAGAAGTCTGATTGAAAGTCTCAAAAAGAAAGGCGTATTTTTCTACGGACTTTTCAGAGATCTCCGTTACTTTTTCAAGTTAGTCTCCTGGTTGACCCACGAGCTTCAAGAGGACAACGAAGCAACGTAGAACGTTTAGCTCCGTTAATAATCCCGCCTTCATTATGTCAGGGTTGAGAGAAACGGTCGACTTAGCCAACGTGCGGATATCAGCCTACAGTGAGCCACACGAACGGCCGCAGGTAGGACGCGGGTTTTACACGGTCTTCGTGACAGAGTTAAAATTATTTT